AATTAGCAAATATCTACGCGCGGTGCGTATCGCACATAGGAATATACGCACGGCTATGGGAGGTAAGAATGAAAGTGTACAATTAAACTATCATATGGCGCGAACGATTTGAGTTACATTTCTAGAAATCTAGATACATATAAACACATGTGTTATCTATGATTTCTGTGATTTTTGAGTTTATTGAAGCGCGAGTGGTTTAACTAATTAGCAAGTATCTACGCGCCGCGCGCGGTATCGCACAGGTTAATATACGCACGGCTATGGGCGGTAAGAAAGTGTACAATTAAGCTATCATATGGCGCGAACGATTTGAGTTACATTTCTAGAAATCTAGATACATATAAACACATGTGTTATCTATGATCTCTGTGATTTTTGAGTTTATTGAAGCGCGAGTGGTTTAATTAATTAGCAAGTATCTACGCGCGGTATCGCACAGGTTAATATACGCACGGCTATGGGCGGTAAGAAAGTGTACAATTAAACTATCATATGGCGCGAACGATTTGAGTTACATTTCTAGAAATCTAGATACACATAGACTTAGCTGTAATCTCCGTAAATTTTGAGTTTATTGAAGCACGATTAGTCTAATTAATTACTACAGACCATTGTACAGCGTATCCATACAGCGCTGTACTTAAGCGGCAGCGGTGTGGATCCATTTGGAAACGACATGGCGTCAAATCCTGAGTTGGCGCAACTCTCTGTATATAGGGACCCTAGGTTAGGGTTAGGGTTAGGGTTAGGGAGTAAGGCGTAGGCTGCGGTGGTTTCTGGGATAGGACCTGCTGTGAGGGGTGTGATATAACCTCGACCACTACATGCAGTGCCCCCCCCCCTTCGTACAAAAACGAGAGCCAGAACGAGAGCAAGCAGAATTCGCACGTGTATTTACGATGCGATTGTTGTCGTGATTACATGATTATGCCTAAGAGTCTGCCTAATGGTCGTGACGCAATAAATGTAAAGTCCGTGACGCAATAAATGCAATGTCTGCTACGCAATAAATGCGATGTCCGTTACGCAATAAATGTAATGTCCGGGACGCAATAAATTTAATGTCCGTGACGCAATACATTTAATATCCGTGACGCTATAAATGTAATGTCCGCGACACAATAAATGCAATGTCTGTGACGCAATAAATACAATGTCCGTTACGCAATAAATGTAATGTCCGTGACGCAATAAATGTAATGTCCGTGACGCAATTGTAGTGTCGAATATATCTCGAACGTAGAGAGTAGGACGTAACAGTTGTATAAAAGGTGACAACTACAGTTTTATTATAAATACGGATAAATAGCACAATCAAAACAGTGTACACGTACCGGTTAGAGGTTGTCGTCCTCTCCCCCGTTTCTACCAAAACCCGTC